GGGGCACACGTGTACATGCACCTAGCATGTTTTACAAGCCACAGGGGCCAGGATTCAAACCACAGTTGACCATGTGGGATCCAGCTCCCTTAACCACTAGGCTACAAGACCAGCCCCGCTAACAAAATTTTAAGTCTCCAAACTTGTCTGAACATGTTGTTTTTGCTGAAATGCTGGCTAACATGAATAACATTCTTGACATAATATGCTGACCACATTTCACTGTGGCCTGATGGTTGGGGTCACTGGGCTCACTCATTATGTCACCATCTTGTAGCACAAGGAGGCCCACAGTGTGGCGTGTGGCAATGTCAGTTCCCACCATGGCGACCCCAGATCACTGTGCTACGGTTTTGTGTTTAGTACCATTTTCTGTCTTCTCCCTGGCTTTTAGTTATGGCTTCTTGCCACCCATGCCTCCACCAGCTCCTCAAATCTGCTGCGAACTGAAACACTGGACCCCTTGAGAACTGTGTGTAAACCGGACATACACAGGATCTGCCTGAAAACCCACGAAGCTCTGTCAAGTAGGAGGCGTGGATGTTGGGTCATGGGATCCGTCACTCAGGAGGTTCCAGCTGTGCCCTGCATGGTCACTGCCAGCCACAGAGCACACAGCACTGGCACATCAGCAGGGTGTCCCTGTGGGCAGAGGTACTGCCAGTGCAGGGAACACCCCGCTGCTGAGGAGGCTTCGTGAAGTTACATGAACTCTGTGGGAACCCGAGTTCCCCTGTTTCGACCTCCTTCACTTAGGAAAGCAGGGCTCTCGAGGGGGCCTTTTAGGGGTAAAGAACCGCAGACGCGCTGAGCACACACTTAGCAGCACGGCAGGACCCTGGAGAGGCAGAGTTTTCCAGAATGAAACAGAGCCCAGGGGCCCTTCACAGGGACTGGCTGTGAAATCAGCAGATTCCGAATACCTCATTTTCACCCAGTTACGCCTTAAGAGGAGAGCTAGAGCCGGTCCTCTCCTCTCCAATAAACTATTTTTAACCACAGGGTATAAAAGTATTTTCTTTGGGTTCAATAGCTTAAAGAGCGTTATTCCACATCTGTTACGTGTGTGTGCATATGCGTATTTATGGGGAAATATGGAACACCTAGAGATTGCGTATTATTTAGTGGCTATCTCCAGCGATGGAATCATGAGGGATTTTTTTTTATCTTTATGTTTTGGTTTTCCCAAATTCTTTTTTTGAGCATGTATGAATTTTATACTTGGGTAGATAAAGTTATTTTTAGAAGTATTCCTTTGTCACTCCAAAAAAATAAAAATAAAAATCACGCTGTCCCTTGTGTTTCCTTCTTTCTGTCCAGCTAAACCCCCAATGTACAGTTTGACAATGTGTGACTCTAATGGGGTTGCCTGGGTCACAGAGGTCCAGGTGCAATTTAAGGTTTTTTTATTTTTTAGTCTGTTATAGGGCACGTGCCAGAGAGGACAGAGAAGGAGAGTGAGAGGGAAAGTGAGAAAGCATCCCTCGGGGCAGGGGTGGGGGGATGGCCACACCACAGTCCCTTCCCTCCCTTCTCCTCTCGGGACTTTGGGCATGCCCACACATGTGCCCAGTTTGTTTTTCAAGCTGCTGGGTCTGAGATTCGAACCGTGTAGTCTGCCATGTGGGATCCAGCTGCCTTCACCACACCACTGGCTGGCCCTGGCTGTACTTTCTGAAAGCATCTAGAAAGCTTTCAAAAGACACTGCGGTCCAAGGTGGGGATATCCTCCATGTGGCCTCTCATTATATAGTTCACTTCATTTCCCTTCACAAATCCATGTCTATGGTATCCTCCCATTGGCTCAAAACCACCACCTCCAGGAGGCCCACAACAAATCGCTCATGCAAACTGGAATTCCTTTAACTCCCAAATTGGATTCAGAATTCATATGGTGTTTGGACTTGTCACAGCGTCAGTTGAAAAACATTCCCTGGGGCCAGCCCTGTAGAACAGCAGTTGAGCACTGTACATAGAGAGCTGGATTACACATGGCCAACCATAGTTCAAATTCTGGTCCCAGCAGCTTGAAACAAAAGTTTTCAAATCCCAAGAAGAGAGAGGACTGGAGAAGAAAGAATTGCAGCATGACCACATCCCATGGGGAGGGTGCTTTCTCTCTCTCTCTCTCCTCCCTTTCTCTCTCTCTCCTCCCTTTCTCTCTCTCTCCCCCTCTATCTCTGGCAAGCACACATACTCTCTGGCAATTAAGAAAAAGAAAAGGAGGGACCAGTAGTTAGCATAATGGCTATGTCGCTGAACTCCCATGTAGTTGACCACGGTTCGAGTCCCAGACCCGGTGGCTTAAACTCACGCCAGGCACGTGTGCGTGCATATCCAAGATCCCAAGAGGAGAATGGAGGAGAAGGGATTGTGGTGTGGCCATCCCCCTGGGGGGTGATTTCTCGCTTTCTGTCTCTCTATCTCTCTCTGTCTTTATGGCGAGCACATGCGCCCTATAGCAAAAACCTCTCCAAAAAAAGAAAAGGAAAAAAATAGAATAATTTGAGAATTCTTTTCTTTTTTAATTGCCAGGAGGCATATGTGTTCACTAGAGACAGAGGGAAAAAGAAAGAAAGCACCCTCAATGGGGCATAGTCATGCCACAATCTTTCCTCCATTTTTCCATTATGTCAGGATTTGGGGCTCACATTCACACCTGCGTGGCATGTTCTTCAGGTTGATGGGGCCAGGATTCAAACTGTGGTGGCCATGTGGGACCCAGCTCCTTTAACCAACAGGTCATGTGGCCAGCCCAAGATATGCTTATTTTTATATTTTCTATCTATATATTTGTTGATGAGCAAAGATAATGCCTCTACACACTGGAACATGCTCTAGGCTCTGTGCATATGTACCATGTGGTCAAAAAAGACCAACCAGAGTAGGGGGACCAGCAGGTGGCATGGTGGTTAAGGCGCTGGACACTCCCACATGACCAGCCACGGTTCGAGTCCCAGACTTGGTAGCTTGCTTTCTCACTTTCTCTCTCTCTCCCTCTCTCTTTCTGTCTCGCTCTGGTCAAATTAAAATAAAATAAAAAATAAAATAAATGAATGAATAAATAAAATTAAATAATTCTTTAAAAAAAAAAAAAAAAACACCACCCAGGGCTCAGCCATGGTGGTGCAAATTGCATGAGGCTAGGGCTGCATGAGAGGCCTAGGTTCATTTCCTGGACCAACTTAAACAGGCTGGGCTCTCTCCCTCTATTCCCACCAACAAACCAACTAACCAAACAAACGCCGATAGATGGAGCCAGTGTGTCGTCTCAGACCTGCAGCATCAGCATCACCTGGGAGCTTGTTGGGGTGGCAGTCCCGGGCCACCTAGGCACCAGTGAATTTAATAGTTAACTCTGGGGGGACTAGCAGGATGGTGTGACGGTTACATCGCTGGACTCTCACGTAGTCAACCGCAGTTTGAGTCCTGGACCCGGTGACTTAAAATTCACACCAGGTGCTTACCCAAGATCTGGAGAGAACAGAGCAGAAGGGATTGTGGTGTGGCCATCTCCCCTGGGGGGTGATTTTTTGCTTTCTGTCTCTCTGGTGCATGCATGTGCAAAAATAAAATAAAATAAAAAAGACAGCGGTTCTAGACTTGGACAAGTTTACAAACTAACGAACTAAGCTAAAGCTAGACTCCACCTATAATTGACAAATAAGGCATTTACTTCATTTACTTTCTTAATCAGGATAGGACCGGCAGAAATTTCAGTGTGTCTGTGTCCCATAGCCTACAAGTGTGCATATTCCTTAAGATGAGAACATACTATATATAGTTGGATCTGTAAATTTTTTTTCTTTTTTTGGAGAGGTTTTTTTCACTATAGGGCGCATGCGTTCGCCAGACAGACAGAGAGGGACAGAGAGACAGAAAGCGAGAAATCACCCCCCAGGGGGGATGGTCACGCCGCAATCCCTTCTCCTCCATTCTCCTCTCGGGATCTTGGGCACATACGCACACGCGCCCGGCGTGAGTTTTAAGCCACCGGGTCCAGGACGCGAACCGTGGTCGACTACGTGGGAGTCCAGCGACACAGCCATTACACTAACTGCTGGTTCCCAATTTATGTTAAAAACAAAACAAAAAAAAACAAAAAAAAAACTTCATCCCCTTTGCCTATTATTGCTAGCATTCCTCACCAGAAAAAAAATGGCCAGAATATTAAAGTTAATTAAAATTATTTAATTAAAATTAAATTAGCCTTGTAGTTTTTGTTTTTTCTTTTAGAGGTTTTTGCCTTAGGGTACATGCACTGGCTGGGAAAAAAGAGAGACAGGGAGAGGGAAAGTGAGAAATCATCGCCCAGGGGGGAAGGTCACACCACAATCTCTTTTCCTCCATTCCCTTCCTGGGATCTTGAGCATGCATGCACATGTACCCAGCATGAATTTGAAGCCACCAGGTTCGGGACTCGAACCATGGTTGACAATGTGGGAATCCAGTGACATAACCACTAGACCATCTGCTAGCTCCAGCGTTAATTTTTTAAAACAATTTTCTGTGCTTTAAGTGGAATATGCTTTAATATCCACCTCTTCATCGTGTCTTGGGGCCACATTATGAACTAGCTTACAATATTCATGTGTTTGCACAAAAGCAATCCCAGGTTCCTGCACCTTGAGTCTCTGTGCTTGCTTTCTAGATTCTTCTATCTGTTCTACCTTTGGTGTTATCACATGTGGCCTCAGTGTAGGTTCCTCAAACAGTCCCAGTCTCTCTTTCAATCAAGGTTGGGAAGGCAGATAACCCTGCTGGTCCAAATTATATGTAGACCAAGAATAAACAGGTCCGAGGAAGACTCCCATGGATCAGATCCTGAGCCTGGGATTCCAGCCCCATTTCACCTAGCACAGTTCCTCAGGGATCCCTAGCCTATCCCACTGGAACTACAGTTTCCAGGGAATCTAACAGTGGGAGTTTCATTGAATTGTTCCAGGCCTGGAACAAAAGTAGGTTTTCAAATGAAGGCACAGACAGTGACATTGGGTTACCTGGTCCTGGAGCTTCTGGAACATCAGAGGGTGCGGTTCATCCAGGATCTTTTCATTGAGCCGAGACTGTCCTTCTACATTCACTTGTGACGAGGCCTTACTGGACAGATAGGTCATGTAGATCTCCTTTGCCTTTTCCTGCATCTGGAGGAGACAGAGGGGGCATGTTTGTTATCTGCAAGTGCAGCCCTTCCCGGCTGGAGCCCAGCTCTCCATTCCAGCCAGGCAAGCACTCTCTGCAGCCTCCAATCTCTTAGTGCTGCTCGGGAGCTAAGCTCTATCTGGGCAGACTCAGGGCAGTGTAGTCGGCACCCCTGCCCTTCCATGCATCTTTAGCCACATCTTCTGCAACAAAATGGCTACCCTAACTACTCAGAAGCAATGACAAGTGACGCCCGGAGGGAGCATTCAGTACTACTCAGGGCCATTCTGCAATTTCTCCCAATGAAGGGCTCTGTGGGAATATTATACAGCCACAAAAAGGAATGACGCACTGATACAAGCTACAACTTAGATGAGCCATGAAAACCTGCTAAGTGAAAGAAGTTAGACACAAAAAGCTACATATTGTAGGAGTCCATTCACATGAAATATCCAAATCCATAGAGACAGAAAGATTAGTGGTGCCAAGGGCTAGGAGAGGGAGAAACAGGGCATGGCTGCTAATGGGCCTGGGCTTCTGTTTGAGGTGATGAGAAAGTTCTGGAACTAGATGGTGGAGATGACTGTACATTGTGAACATACTCGATGTCACTGAATTGTATACTTTAGAATGTTTAAAAAGGCAAAAACGAGAGCCCTACAAATGATTAAAATTATACTAGGTGTACTTTGCCGTAATAAAAACATCAAGGTAAGTCTACCACGCTGCAGATGCATGCCAGGTGTGGTCCCATTTCCTTAATGCCCTGAACATCTAGCAAAGTGCCACTT